CAGGATCCGCGCAGCGGGGTGCGGGCGTGGGGCGGCGGGGATCCTGCCCCCGGGACCGGCCCGCGGACCCTGCTCCCGGGCGGAACCGGGATTCACCTGCTTGAGGCAAAGCGGGGCCCTTCGAGCGGTACCGGCGGGGGCGGGCAGAGCCCCGCGGCCGGTCCCGTGTCACGGCGGGGCTGGAGAAGCACCTCCCGTGCACCCAGATCGCCGTGGCCTCGGCCTTGAACCGGGACCAGGCGCTGCCACTCATCGCATCGCCCTGGGATGCTCTGAGGTGCTGGGCCACTGCTCTTCCCACGGGCATCCCGGCTCCCAAGGGCATCCCGGCACCCAACAGCCATCCTGGCACCCAACAGCCATCCCAGTACCGACGGCCATCCTGGTACTCACGGCCATCCAGGCACCCACGGCCATCCTGGTACTCACGGCCATCCAGGCACCCACGGCCATCCTGGTACTCACGGCCATCCAGGCACCCACGGCCATCCTGGTACTCACGGCCATCCAGGCACCCACGGCCATCCTGGTACTCACGGCCATCCAGGCACCCACGGCCATCCTGGTACTCACGGCCATCCAGGCACCCACGGCCATCCTGGTACTCACGGCCATCCAGGCACCCACGGCCATCCTGGTACTCACGGCCATCCAGGCACCCACGGCCATCCTGGTACTCACGGCCATCCAGGCACCCACGGCCATCCTGGTACTCACGGCCATCCAGGCACCCACGGCCATCCTGGTACTCACGGCCATCCAGGCACCCACGGCCATCCTGGTACTCACGGCCATCCAGGCACCCACGGCCATCCTGGTACTCACGGCCATCCAGGCACCCACGGCCATCCTGGTACTCACGGCCATCCAGGCACCCACGGCCATCCTGGCACCCACAGCCATCCTGGCACCCAACAGCCATCCCAGTACCCACGGCCATCCTGGTACTCACGGCCATCCAGGCACCCACGGCCATCCTGGCACCCACGGCTGTCCCGGTACCCATGGCCGTCCCGGTACCCACGTCCATCCCCAGTGCTCCTCCTGCCTTGCCTTGCTCACACACGCACGGGGCGGGCAGCATCCCACAGAGCAGGAAGCTGATGGGTGGCAAACAGAAAAGCGTCTTCTGTGCCCCAAGGAATGGCTGTGTCAAACCTCAGCGCTGGCCCAGGAGGACATGTCACCCACTGCCAAAACGCCTAAAAGCATCCACGGGGGCAGCTTTAGCTGCTGGGGTGCTGCCTTTGGAGGGTGGCTGTGTCCGAGCCGTGTTTTGCTTGGACATGTGATGCCATCCTTGGTTACATGCTTGCTTCAAATAGAGATGATTTCAGTTCTGTCTGAACATCTTATTTTTTTTTTAACATCCTAGAAAAGTCAGACAGTAAGGTGTTTGCTGAATTTAACCTCCAGGGTTCAACGGCTCCTTCTCACCGACTGCAAGAGCTTGGTCCCACCAAACCCATCCCGCTGAAGTAAGGTGTTTGCTGAATTTAACCTCCAGGGTTCAACGGCTCCTTCTCAGTGACCGCACGAGCTTGGTCCCACCAAACCCATCCCGCTGAGATCAGTGCCCCACAGAGAAGCTTCGCTGCAGCCTGTAAATCCCAGATACAGCAAATGTGAGGGTCAGGTTGGTTACATGCAGGAACTTAAGAAACTCCCCTCTTGCAGCAAGAGGTCTTCGGTAAGAAGCTCTGCCGTTACTGCAGCTTTTTATCTCGCTTCCCAAACCCGCCAGCTCGGGCAGGACCCTTTGCTAGAGAGAGTCATGTACGAGTCACAGACACATTTACAGAGGGAAAACTAGGAATTGCGCATTTAAAATCTCTTGCAGCTGGACCCTGAGCGAAGACTTATTCACTTAATTAAGTTTTGGAAAAGACTCTTCCACCACACAGATTTACTTACAAAATCTGAAATCCGGCGAAGTCTGCAGTGGGAGCTGTGCGGCAGCGCAGGGGACACACAGCACAAAACACGGGGCTGCCTTTGGCAGATTTGGGCCATTTCCTGCCTGTTTCCTTGGGACTCGGCCACCAACGACAAGTCCTTTCAAGTGGCCACATCATTTGGATTTGGTGCATCCGGCTGGTAAAAATAAGGGTGGCTTCAGAAAGATATGGGATGTGCAAGCAGGAAGGAGACATGAACCTCGCCAGTCTCTTCTGCTGCTATTTTTATTGGTCTTAAGTGTATTCTCTTTAAAAATGAAAGACTATTAACCCAGAATATTACACAGATCACAGTCTGCTTTAAATTTAAGGAGCACAGCATCTCTTTAATGGAAATTGAGCTAATCATTCCTTTTCAGCGCAGCATTTTTGGGAGCTCTAAAACCCACATGAATATTTGGGTTGTCTTTTAAACATCCAGCATGTAGCATCCCAGGTTTTAGACACTCCAGCTTTGGCACCTCCTGTGTCTACATCCCACTGGGACCGGGGGTGTTTTCTTTCTAAAACGCCCAGTGTCCTACAGCCACACTGGGACAGGCAGATGTCTCAGGGGTTGGAGTCCTGGTGGGAAGGGACTTCTGGAGGCTCCAGTCCAGCCTTGTCCTCAGAGCATCACCCTCCCCACCACCACAGCAGGGTGGCCATGGCTTTGCCTCACGCAGGCTGTTTGTCTCCAAGGATGGAGGCCTTCCACCTCTCTGCACGCCCACCCCAGGGCTGTGAAACATCTCCAGTTCTCCAGCCTGTACCAGCCACCACCAAACTGTCCCAGTTGCCTGTTGTGGTATCATGTGGCACCAGGAACAGGCTGACTCTGCTGTCTCCTACTTGCCCTCAGATTGCTGTAGGCTGTGGTTAGACCTCTCCTTCATCTCTTCCCCACCCCAAAACAGACCCACTCCCCTCACCTCTCCTTGTAGCCCCCTTGCTCTCGACCCTGACCATCTCAGCAGCTGTACTGCAAATGCGGTAGCCATTAGAGCAAGACCCAAAAGTTGGGTTGCCCTCCTGGGAGCACCCAGGAACACCCTTATCTCCAGGAGGAGGGAGCCGCATTGTCTCATACCCAATAAATATGGAATTATATAGAATGGACCTGCTTCGACAGGAGGGACCGCAAGCAGCTTGTTCCAGCAATCCCTCAGCCACGTGGTCAGAAAGACTCAGGGCAGGTGGAAATATGGTTCAAATCCTTGTCACTAGAAGCCAAACTTGACCCTGAGGCCCCTCCATCCCGGGTGAATGTCCAAGGCACCAAGCTGCTGAGAAAAGGGGCAGCAAACGCCCTGGCAGAAGGCCCTAACCTGAGGAGAGCTTTGCAAACCTAATTGGAGATAAGCACTTCCGCATAGCCCCGAGTGAAACTCCGAAATTGCATAAAATTGCAGGCTTAAGACACACCTTTCTGCGTGTGTTTCCCCATGACTCTCTCTCCCATCACCCCGCTGCGGGAGCTTGTCCATGGACCCTCCTGAGGGGATCGGGGCCGGGATGGGGCAGTTCCCGTTGGAGCCGGACGCAGTGGGGTGAGGAGGGGACGAGGGGATGAGCTGGGGACAGGACAGCAGAAGCATCCCAGTGTAGTGCAAAGAAAGGAAACGAGCCAAATTCAGAGCAAAGGAGGAGGAACTCAGGGGCTTCAGATCCCATGGTAAGGCAGGGTGATATCACCCAAGATTTCCTTGCTGGCTGTAGGGTGAGAAGCCTGTGACGGCAGTGATTTGGCCGCAGGAAGACAGCTGCTTTTCCAGGAAATCCAAAGCACAGGGGATTCTCTGACCACCAATTTACACTTCTCTTTTCCGAAGAAGAAATCACTTCAGAAGGCACAGCAAAACCCTGTCTCGTCCCAGAGCAAGGAGACCCGGAGGAGCTCAGCAGAGGTCAATCGGTGCAGACACAGTGAGATAAACACCGAAACACCGGTGGGCAGTGGCTGTGTTTTCACTGAGTTATTTTGCTCACTCTTACAATACCAGAACAGAATATGGGAAGTTACAGCTCAAGCATGCATGCACACAGGCTGGCACACAGTCCTGAGCCCCAGTTACCAAGCTGTTATTTTCGGCACTCTCTGAAACTTGGGGGGGGGGGGTTGTAACCCGCCTTTTCCGAAGAAGAAATCACTTCAGAAGGCACAGCAAAACCCTGTCTCGTCCCAGAGCAAGGAGACCCGGAGGAGCTCAGCAGAGGTCAATCGGTGCAGACACAGTGAGATAAACACCGAAACACCGGTGGGCAGTGGCTGTGTTTTCACTGAGTTATTTTGCTCACTCTTACAATACCAGAACAGAATATGGGAAGTTACAGCTCAAGCATGCATGCACACAGGCTGGCACACAGTCCTGAGCCCCAGTTACCAAGCTGTTATTTTCGGCACTCTCTGAAACTGGGGGGGGGGGGGTTTAAACTGCAGCCGCCCACAGTGAATCTCACCTTTGGGGCTTTCTCTTTCCCTTTCCCTTTCATTTACACCAGTTTTCTTCTGGATTGACCTTTCTTTCCCTTTCAGTTCCAAATTCTCAAAACCTCATTGATAAAATCATGAAATTGTCTTGGGTGGAAGAGACCTTCAGATCACGGCATCCAACCATCGACCCAACAGTGACAAACCCACCACTGACCCATGTCCCTCAGCACCACGTCTGCCCAGCTTTTAAATCCCTCCAGGGATGGTGACTCCACCACTGCCCTGGGCAGCCTCTTCCAAGGCTTGACAACCCTTTCGGTGAAGGAATTTTTCCTAATATCCATCCTAAACCTCCTCTGGTGCAACTTGAGGCTGTCTCCTCTTGTCCCATCGCCAGTGGTTCAGTCCATAGCAAGGACAGAAGGAGGTGACAAAGGCTTTTTAGTAACTCATCATTATGGAGGTTAGACTTACTGCCTCTCTGATTTGGAAATAGCACCGGAACAGAAGTGCTAGTCATTTGAGATGGTTGCAAATGAATCCCAAACCGAAGCCGGGGGAGATAATAGAGAAACCTCAGCGTCAGAGTCAGCAGAGGAAGCTGACCAGTGGGGGAAGGGCAGGTTTCATCATGGAAATGCTTAGCAAAAGCTCCTTGGAGGAGATGCACGACCCTCAAACAGCACCTGATAGTGGTTCAGTCCATAGCAAGGACAGAAGGAGGTGACAAAGGCTTTTTAGTAACTCATCATTATGGAGGTTAGACTTACTGCCTCTCTGATTTGGAAATAGCACCGGAACAGAAGTGCTAGTCATTTGAGATGGTTGCAAATGAATCCCAAACCGAAGCCGGGGGAGATAATAGAGAAACCTCAGCGTCAGAGTCAGCAGAGGAAGCTGACCAGTGGGGGAAGGACCATTAACGTCCTCAGTTTCGTGAGCTGCAAACACACTGGTCACTTCCCAGGCTGGGGAAGATGCCAGGAAGGGGGTCCACATATGCACCAGCCCGAGCTGTGCTTGGAAACCTCAGCGTCGGAGTCAGCAGAGGAAGCTGGGGGAAGGACCATTAACGTCCTCAGTTTCGTGAGCTGCAAACACACTGGTCACTTCCCAGGCTGGGGAAGATGCCAGGAAGGGGGTCCACATATGCACCAGCCCGAGCTGTGCTTCGGGACCACGGGAGGACCACGCCGCAAAGCAAAGCGGTGACAAGAGGGACACAATGAGGTGCAAAGCCTCTTTAGATGCACAGGCAATATGGGGTGGGTGAGCTGCTTTGACCCCTGCTTGACCAGGTGGACTCACAGACACCCTGGGGCCAAGAGGGCATTGCCTGCCCGACCAGGGGTCTGAACGTTGAGCCCACCCTGTCCTTGCCTCAGGCAGCCTCGTGACGTGGGACACTGACGTGCTCCCAGAGCCCCAACAACACCAAAATTGCCATGGCAACGTTTCTATGACTAACAGCTCATTCTGAGAACAGTCAATAACTTCACAACATAAGTCCCAGGAGGTCCCACTCTACATAAATTTGCATATTACTCAGTGGAGCCAACCAAAGGTGCGACTG